TCCTCCTCCTCCTCCTCCCCTTGCAGGAGAAGTCTTTGATTACCTGGTTTCCCATGGCCGCATGAAAGAGAAAGAAGCTCGGGCCAAGTTCAGACAGGTTGGGCCTCGCTGTGCGACCAGGACTCCCTGCTCTTTGGGCTCTGGGCGGGGGGCCCCTCGGGCCTGGCTGGCGGGGCAAGCGATGGGGGACAATTCGCGCTGCCTGGACAGAGTCCTCTTGGGCTCCCTTGGCCTTGTCACCTGCAGGGGGGCGTGGGAGAGGCTCCCCTCTCTGCTGTGAATTCAGTGTCCAGGGCATACGGACGATTCGTCTAGCCTGGACTTGGTTTGCCTCCAGAAAAGCTGTTGAAGTGCTGGGGGGGGAGTCAAACACAGGGGCTTCCACGCTAGCCAGGAACTCCTCTTCTCCACCTAGATTGTCTCGGCTGTGCACTACTGTCACCAGAAGAACATCGTACACAGAGACCTGAAGGTGAGGAGTTACAGCGCTGCTCCCATCTCTCGCTCCCCCTGCCCCCCCCCACGGCTCCTCTCCTCATATGGGGGCAATGCTCCTGCCACCCTGGGCCAGTCCTAAGCACTTAAACAGAGTGGCTGGATTTTGCAAGGTGGCCTTGGAGAAATCCTTCCCTTCTGAGCCTCAGTGCTCCCCTCTATAAAATGGGAAGAATTACTGCCTACTTTCAGAGTTGATGTGAGATCAGTATAAGAGCTAGAAGAACCCACAGGAGCTGGAGGTTGGAGCAGCTCCTCAGCTCCGTGTTTGCGGGTCACTGGACATTCAGTGTGGGTTCCCAGAAGTTTGTTGGGTTTGTAAGACCTCGGTGGCTGCAGTGATGATTTGTCCCTTTATTATTGGCTGATGAGCAGACAAGCCCCCGGCCCAGGGACCTTCCCCCCGCTTGCTTGGCTGTGGAGCAAAGGCCCTCCTGCCCCACGCACCGCTGATAACCCCCTTCATTTTTCTCTCCCCACTTCCCTCTCCCACAGGCCGAAAACCTCCTGCTGGATGCTGATGCCAACATTAAAATAGCCGACTTTGGGTTCAGCAACGAGTTCACGCTCGGCTCCAAGCTGGATACCTTCTGCGGGAGCCCCCCCTATGCCGCGCCAGAGCTCTTCCAGGGCAAGAAGTATGATGGGCCGGAGGTGGACATCTGGAGCCTGGGGGTCATTCTTTACACCCTCGTCAGCGGCTCCCTTCCTTTCGATGGGCAGAACCTCAAGGTGAGGCTGTGGGGTGCGGGGGGGGGCAGATCGGGGGGCAGTTGCAAGGAGTAGAACCCGGAGCAGGAGCCACAAGGTCGCCTCTGCCCTGAAACCGCTTTGCAAACCGTGGCATTGCCATGATGCTCAGAGGGCCCTCGGCAGGGATTTTTCTCGGGGTTCTCTGCTGTGGACCCCCCTGGGACCTGCCAAGCCCTCTGCCTGTGCGGGAAGGAGAGGGGAAGCGCGAAGCATCCCCATGCGGGGTTGTGGCATTTGCCTTTTGTACCAGCGGCTCTTTGCTGCTTTTCCCCTCATACCTGCTCGGTTGTCCAGCGCCCGAAGCTGCAAAGACCGGGTTCCCCCTGGGGGAATGAGCGAGGGTCGGGGGGCTTCTTGAACCCTTTGGGGACCTTGGCCAGGCAGCACTGCCACCCCGAGCAGACTGGCAGCCCAGAAGGGGCTGGGGGCTGAGGGCCAGGCTGCACTCTAACCAGCAGGCATCTCCCCCTGCCAGGAGCTGCGGGAGCGCGTGCTGCGTGGCAAGTATCGTGTCCCCTTTTACATGTCCACGGACTGTGAAAACATCCTGAGGCGCTTCTTGGTACTGAATCCTGCCAAGCGCTGCACCTTGGAGGTGAGGGTGCCTGGCGTGGGCCAAGCTCCGCTGCAAGCCCCGCGTTCGCCAGTCCTGCTCTGCGGTGCCATCCCTGGGCGGCTTCAGATGCTACTTATTCCCTCTCGGTCCCTCTGGGGGTGAAGGAGCACAGCTGGCGCTCCCCGTCCCCCGCCCCAGTTTCCCAGGCACCCACCAGAAACCTGTTTCCCTTACAGGAAGCGCCAGGCCTTTAATTAGCAAATGTCTCCACGGGATCTGGCCCTACCCGCTGCTGAGCCTTTCTCCCCTGGCTCCCCCCACCCCCACCAATGACTGTAATTAGCCTAATCGACTCAGAGATAATTACATGGTGTGTCAGGGAGGCAGCCTCGACACCCTCCCCTCCCAGCACTGCTCAGGGGGCTTTCCAGGGAGCAATGCGGGGAGGGGGTGGGGTGAACCTATGCAGGCTCCCTAGAAAATATTTGGGGGGTTTTGTGCCTCCCCTGAAATGAAGGAAAAAGGTGTGGGGGGTGTCTGGACCCAGGGTGAAATATTCAGGGTGCCCCTGAGCATGTGCTAAGGGCTACATGCTCACCCTTGCGCTCAGACCAGCCTTTGCTCAGGGCATCAGGTGGGCGCGGAGGAGGCTGTCTTGGTGGGAGGGGGAGGGGGACCAAGCAGGTCTGTCCCAGTTAACGTCCCTGCCGCCCCCCTGCAGCAAATAATGAAGGACAAGTGGATCAACATTGGCTACGAGGGGGACGAGCTGAAGCCCTACCGGGAGCCCGAAGAGGATTTTGCCGATACCAAGCGCATCGGTAAGGGTGCATGCCTGGGCTTGCGGGGAAAGCGGCCCCTGGACTCTCCCCATCGCCATGGCTGTTCCTCCTGCTGCCTGAGGTCTCCCCACCCGGACAGGTGCCCCAGACCGAGAGCGGAGCCCCGCCACCAGCGCACAGCTTCTCTCAGAGGCACAGAGGAGCTGAAGGGTGGCCATGGGGCAGCCAAGCCACCGTTGCCTGTCCCTGAAAAGGCCGCTGGCCTTTGGTTCCTGAGCTGCAGAACCGGGCGGGGGTCTTTTAGTCCTGCCTGCCCTTGGGCTGGGTTAACCCCCTGCCTCTGTTCTTTCCTTCCCCCCACCTCTAGAAGTCATGGTGGGCATGGGATACACCCGAGAAGAGATCAAGGAAGCCTTGTCCAACCAAAAATACAACGAGGTCACAGCCACCTACCTCCTGCTGGGCAGGAAGAACGAGGTACGGCTGCTGCCAGGGGGTCAGCAAGATGAAGCAGAGGGGGGGATCCCTCAAGGGGGCTGGCCAGTCCACCCTAGTGCAAAGCCGCTGCAGGGCAGCCAGACCTCAGACATGTTCAGTTTGCCAGGACCCCCTTAGGCCAGGAGAGAGCTGCTCCCTGCGCTGCCCGTTTCGGATTCCCCACGGGCGCGGCAGCTGTAGGGCCCACCTGGGAGTTGGAGGGAGGGTGCCTGGCTTTGAGGAGCCAGAGCCCAGCTGACCTAAGGAAGGAGATTTCCCGGCCCACCAAGAGGGGTCCAGCTGCCCCCGAACTGCAGGCACACGTGTACCGATTTTGGTGCGTGCCATCCGGCAGCACCCTTGACGGGCCTGGCATTCTGCTCTTTCTAGCAGGTGGAAGGGGGGGAGTCGCGCACAGGCAGCAGCCTCTCCCTGGCCCGGGTGCGGCCGCCCAGCGAGGTCTCGAACGGCACCAGCAAGTCCTCCTCGCACTCCAAAAGCCAACGGAGCTCTTCCACTTATCACCGGCAGCGGCGGCACAGCGATTTCTGTAAGCGGCCTTGGCGCTGGCACCATGCGCTGGACCAAAAAGGCTCCCGCTTAACGTGAATCCAGGGCACTGCCTGGACGGCACTGGGCACTTCCTAAGGCTTTGCGTGGCGACTTGGCTCAGCTAGATGGGGTCGCAGGCCCCCAGCCCTTCTCTCAGCTGTGGGGTGAACCGATGTCCCCTGAAAGCATAAGACGGCCAAATAGGTTACGTGAACCCAGCAGCTGTGTGGAGCCTCCTCTTGAGGCTGTTGGCTCAGGGTCTTTGGGTTCCTGTTGCAGGCGGGGGGGGCTGCTTGATGGTCCCCAGGGTCCCTCTAAATTCTAGGGGCTTTGGAGCTCTCCTTCCAAAGGCTTAGTTGCATTCAGAGACCTCCGGGATTGCTGCCAAACTGTAGTTTACAGTGCGAAGGAGGACATGATTAAACCCCTGCTTGAAAAGCAACGGTGTTTATTCTATTTTTATCTAAGATTCAATGCAAAAGAAATTAAATCCAAGGTGGCTTTTGTCCTAAGCCACTTTGCCCATGGGTCCACTCAACTGTAAGGTCAATGGTGCCCGGGTGGCTGCCCTCTCTAAAAGCAACATCGTTCCATCCTCTTGCCCAGGTGGCCCTTCCCCTGCCCCCCTCCATCCCAAGCGGAGCCCGACCAGCACCGGAGACGGGGAGCTGAAGGAGGAGCGGATGCCATCGCGCAAGGCCAGCTGCAGTGTGGTCAGCAGCGGCCGAGGGGGCATCCCTCCTTCCAGCCCCATGGTGAGCAGCGCAAATAACCCCAACAAATCGGAGATCCCTGACCGGCGCAAGGACAGTGCCGTCAACACGGTAAGGACAGAGGGCTTTCGGGCACGTCCTCGTCCGTCTGCACAAATCCTGCCTCCCACCCCACTTCCAGCTGGGCAGGCAGTGCTGTTCGGTGCTGCCGTTCCTCCAGCGCAGATGCAGATCTATGCCAGAGCCTCAGGAGCATGGCATTCCTTCCCTGCCAGGGCCAAGGAGTCTTCCTTGGACGTTCACAATAGCAGAACGTGGCTTCAGAGTGCTGCCCATCTTCTTCTGCACCCAGATTTCCTGGGGCTCTCAGCTGGGCCTCGCCAAATTCAGGACCCTGTTTTCTGATCAGCACCTCAATTCTTGCTTCTAAGAAGCAGCAGACCCTGCCCCGCGCAGGAGCTTGGCCCAGCCTCTTCCAGTCCTGTGATGGTGCGCCAGGACAGGGCCCGTGCGTGTCTGCATATGCTCGCACGTCATCTAAGTAGCTAAATATCTTGATGTTGAGAATCTGAGACAGCTGACCCCATTCCGTTCCTGTAACTTCAGTGCCCCCAGCCCCATTCTCCCTGCCTGGCTCCCTGCACCCAGACTCTGGCTGACTTTTGAGCTGGCCGTCTTCCTCCCTGTTTCAGAATAATATCCCGTCCAGTATGATGACCCGGCGGAATACCTACGTGTGCACGGAGAGACCTGGGGGGGACCGCCACTCCCTGCTCCAGAACGGGAAAGAGAACAGGTGGACTGTGGATGGGGCGGGGGGAGTGCAGGGCAGCGTTTTCGCGACTGGCTGCCATTGAAAACTGTCTTTGCAGACAAGGCTTGAGAACTGGGGGAGGAGATTATGTTCATTTCAGGAGGGAGAAACTGAAGCAGCGTGAAACTCAACAGGACCAAGATAGCCATATCCTTCTTGGAAGTGCCCCCCCCAGTCACCTTTCTTTATCCTCTGCTGCTTTGAGAGGAATGTAATGGGGCACAGGATGCTTGTGCGCCCCTGCCCCATGGCTCCTGAGTCTTCCTAGGCATCTTACAGAGATAGCAGGGCCCTTGATCACCTCGTGTCCTAAGACTCTGGGACAGGGACAGCACCCCCCAGGTGGGCAGGTGACGCCTCTGGCCTCAAGGGATTGCAGGAGACAGGCCACGCGTTGGGGGTCAAAGGCCAAAATCGAAAAGTGATTTCTCAAAGCCTATAGCCCCAAAGTTCTTCTGGGGGCCCCCGCTTGCTGTTCTAGGTGGTGAAGAAACTTGGCCTTGAACTGAGTGGTCCCCATTCCTTCTCCGCTCCCCCACTGCAGCTCCGGCACCAGTCGGGTGCCCCCGGCCTCCCCCTCCAGCCACAGCATTGCCACTTCCTCCACCTCTTCCGACCGCAGCCGACTCTCACGCGGCACCAACATCCGCAGCACCTTCCACGGAGGCCAAGTTCGGGACCGGCGTGGGACCGGCGTGCAAAATGGGCCGCCCCCCTCTCCAACCCTCTCCCATGAAGCCCCCCCTCTGCCTCAGAGCCGCAGCCGGGCCACCTCCAACCTGTTCAGCAAGCTGACGTCAAAACTCACACGGAGGTAAGTGGACAATTCTGGCAAGGGCAGGTGGTGGTCGGAGGACTGCAGCATTTAGTCCTCTCCCCCCCTCTGTTATTTTGTGGAATTCAGGCAATTCATGGGCTGCAGGCAGCACCCCAGTCCCTTTCCTGCACCCTCAGCAAATCAAATGCTTTGCCTCTGAAAGAAGGAAATAGCAAGTAAGGGGGTACTTAAGGAAGCTTAGTGCATCCGTTTTACTCGAAGGCAAGCCGGACCTTCAGGGCCTTCCAGCCTGTCCTTTACCTTTCCAAGTGGCATTGCCCCATTGGTGCCAAGCCGCCTCCTGCATTTCTTGGAGGCTGGAAAAGTTCTTTCAAGAGCACAGTGTGCCCAGCCTAGCAAGAAAGGCTGCCCGTCTCTGTTTAGTGCCTCTTTTCTGAAGAGAAGTTGCTTCTGCCCCACGGAGGCCCAGGTAACCCTCCTGCGCAGCCTCTCCAAAAGCCCTCCGCCTTGGCTGCCTTGGAGAGCTCCCACAAAGCCAGGATAAACATTCCCCAGGTTTCTTCCTAGCCTGCTTTGTTCTGTGTCTTGACATCCAGGGGGTCTCCCCTCACCCACCCCTCACACAGCTGTGGCCGCACTGCTAGCAAAACAGGGAGGAAACGGAATGTTTTTAATGTTCTACCAGCTGTAAACCGCCTAGAGCCACTGGGAGTCGGGCAGCATATAAATTTGACGATGATGATGATCCCCCCTTCCCGGGAGCTCTCCCCACCACAGCGTGGTTTGCAAAGAAAATCTTTCCCAGAGGCTTTTCCGTTCCAAAAGCTGCGTTGCCTTGACCTAGCGGAGGGAGAGAGAGAGAGGGTGGCCTTCTGCAGCACCCCGGGCGGGGGCTTTGTCCTAGGGAGCCTCGCAGAGCCTGTTGGGCACCCGGGCCGGAACAAGCAAACGAGCACGACTTCTGCGTGGGGAGGCGCATGGCTTCTTGAGCCCCCTTTGTGCGCCCCGTGTGGGGCTGCTGCTTCGTCCCAGCGCTGCTTCGCTGAAGGCTGGCTTTTTTTAGCAGGAGACCCCTCGCGGGAGCCGCAGGCCCAGGTGCAGAAGAGGAGAGGGACGGCTCTGGCCCACCTTTCCCCGTCCTGGGAGGGGGGAGGCAGGGGGTGCAGGGAAGAACTGCTCAGCTCGGGTAGGGGCAGGGACGGGAGGGCCACGCAGAAGGCTTCAGCAGTGAGCTGCGGCTGCCCCCAGATGGTCTGTCCCTGAGGCTGGTTAGAACTGGATAGTCCCCTTCACCCGATCAAAGGGCACGGAAACAAAGGGCAGCCCCGTGGCTGGGCCTCTGGGGCAGAGAAGTCCTGCCAGCCAGTCCTCGGAAGCCGCTCTGCTCACCAAGATTCCCTGAGCAGCAACCAGAGGCTGCCTCTCATTCCAGGCAGCTTTCCATCCTGCCTAGTGGTAGGGCCGGCCTTGCTTCTGGGGATGTGGGGCAGAAAGAGAGGTGGGCGGGGCATTTGCAGGAGCAGGAGGTCTTTGGGGACCGAGGGAGGAGCCAAAGCCCCAAGGGGGGAGCGAAATCCAGGCCCTTTTGGGTCAGGATGTGCTGAGGGACGCTCCTGAGCCCAGGGGAGGCTGCTGACCAGTGGACAAAGGAGCGTCTTAGTGGAGGGCAGGGCAGGGCAGGGCAGGGCTTCCCACACTGGCAGTGGGAGAAGGAAGGGGTTTGGACGGTGGGCTTCTGCTATGGAGGGAAAGGAGAGCCGGAGATTTGCTTTTGGACGCGCTGAGCCGGAGACGTCCAGAAGGGACCCGCTGTTAATGCAGGTCTGAGGTGAACGGGAAAGGCCTTCTCCCTGGGACCCACGGGAAGGAGCTTCTGCCCGGCGCATCCTGGGCTCTGCCCGTGCCCTTCTCCCCTGAGCATTTGCAGCTGCAGAGGCAGGACTGGCTCTCCCGACTAACCTCTCTTGCTCCCCCCGCCCTCCGCGCCCGTTTCACTCTGGCTTCTCTCTGTTTTCAGGGTCACTCTTGACCCCTCTAAGCGGCAGAATTCTAACAGGTGCGTCTCGGGTGCTTCAGTGCCTCAAGGATCTAAAATCAGTAAGTCTGGCTGCTTTCCCCTTTGTGCCTGCCTGCCTGCCGCCTCTCCTCTCGCCGTATTCCGCCCTCCTTTGGCTTCCTCCTTGCTTGGTTAGCGCCCCAAACGGGGATGCCTTTCAGCTGGTGCATCGCTGTTCCCAGAGACCAGGCCCCCCCCCGCCTGGCCTGCCTTCCCCGCGGTCCCGGAGGCGCACCAAGGTGTTTCCACATACGCAGCAGCACTTTCTTCCTTGCGTTGCAGGTCGGAGCTAAGCCCAGTGTTTTCCCCTGCCCCAGGAGCTCTAAGCAAGGCTGGATAAGAGCCAGGCCAGGTGTGCGGAGCGCCCCGAACCCTCCCGCACTCTCAGCTGTGAGCACTGGAGGCAGAGAGGCAGGCCGGCGCCTGCAGCAAGGAGGTCCCGGGGCGGTCCTGGCCCGGTGCTGCTTTGCGGCTCCCGGGGCCTGCCTGCCTGCCTGCGGGGAGCGTGGAAACCCTGGGCTAAAGTCCAGCCTGCTCCCCGTCCGCACCCAGCGGTCAGCTTGTGCCTCAGCTGTTCTGCTCTGGCTGCGAGGCAGTCAGCCAGAGCAGCCACCCAACTCTTTGCCGATAGAAAGGTAGCAGGTAAGGGAGGAGGCCGTGGCAGGGCCCTCCTTCCCCACATTCTCTGGGCAGCAGACTTTGGGGCAGTGCTCAGCCATAGGGCTCCCCCACTTTGCAGTTCTGAATGGCACAGCCACTCCCAGGCAGCGCCCACCTAGGAGGACTAGGTACCCATCTCCTTCGACAAACGTCTCTTGCAGGATTCGGGCCTGCACCCTGACGGTGAAGGTGGCACTTCCTGGGACGGAGCCAGGTGGTGCATCCTGCCCGCCTGAGGGGAGGGAGGAAAAGCTGGCTGCCCCTCCCCACATTCGCTTTCCCTTTATTGGTGTTCCTGTCTTTTGTCCTTCAGGGTCGCAGACGAACCTGAGAGAATCAGGGGACCTGCGCTCACAAGGTGAGTCCCTGGTGGGTGGGCCCCATTTCGAGGCTGTGGTCTGCAGGGGCAGGCGATGTCTTCCAAATCTTGAAAGGCCGGGGGGGGCTGGCTGAGAGCCGGGGGCGTGCTTCAGTTCCCTCAGCAGCAGGAGGAAATCTTGACTTTGCAAGATGAGCAAGTTGTACTGATTTTGTGTAATCAGTTCAGTTGCAGAATTCAGCTGGTTGGGTGTGCAGAAGATTACACAATAGAAAGTGCCGGGATGGCTCTGCCTGGCTGGATTTACCCCTGTGAACTGATCAGTTCAGAACTCTTCAGGCTTGTTCACCTAACCTGTTTTCTGGGTTTGTCCAATATCTGCAGTCCACTGGATGGGGCGGCCAGTACATTTAAAACATAGTAATAAAAGGTCACAAGGCGGGCTGGGTGAATAATGCCTTAAGAGACCCTAACCAAAGGTAAACAGGCCCCTCTTCACATGTCATGCTGAGTCTGAGTTCTGCATGTCTTGTGGACACCGCCGACCTCTCTGACCAAAGCAAGGACAAGTCTCCCTTTTCTCCGGGGCTGTTTGTGGGCACGTCCTGCTTTTGCAAACTTAGAAGGCTCTCTGGTCCTCCTTGCCCGCAGTTGCAATCTACCTTGGCATCAAAAGGAAGCAGAACCCCGGCTGCTCCGATTTACCTGGAATGTGAAGCTCACTAGCACCCGCTCCGCCGAGGCCATCCTAGCCGCCCTCTGCCAGGCCACGGACTCTGCCAACTGCTGCCGCCGCCAGACAGAGCCCTTCGTCCTCTCCTGCACCCACGAGAAGACCCCCAGCGAGCACTTCTGTTGCTTCGAGGTGGAGGTCTGCCGGCTGCAGCGGCTGGGGGGGCTCCACGGGGTGCTCTTCCGTCGCCAGGCCGGCACTTCGCTGGCCTTCCGTAGCTTGGTGGCCAAAATTACAGACCAGCTGCAACTCTAGGGGCGGGCCTGGGCCTGGGCCCGCTCTTTGCATTGACTGACCCACAGGCTGGGGAACTGCACGGGGTGAGGGCATGGCCCCGGTTGCCCTCCGATCTATCCCTCTAGGGCCTGGGTGGTCCTTGGGCTTAATTTTGCGCCAGCCAGGACCAGGAGCTGCCCTGGAAGGTGCCTGCCAACCTGTCAGTGGTGCTAGGGATGGGGGCAGGCCAGAGGACGGGAAGGGGGGAGGGAGGGGAAGAGGAAGAGGAAGAGGGGCTGGTGGGGAAGAGTGCTTTGCTTCTCCTCCAGCACCTCCCCGGGTGGGGAAAGGCTGGCCTGCCTTCCCTTTTCCAGAGTCATGCTGGGGGGCAGGAGCTGTTGTGCCCCTTTCCTCATCCATTGTAAAAAGGGGACCCTCTGCCCATAGTGCTGTTGCCATGAGCCACGATCATTCTCTCTCCCACTTTTTGTTCATTGGCATCTAAACTCCAGGAGCCAAAACGCTTTCATTTCCCCAAATGGAGCT